AAAAACCGTGCTTCATGCAGTTTTTAACGGAAAATCTGAATAGGAATTCTAGCTCATTAATAAGAGTAATCATAGTAGCATTGAGCAGATTTATGTTGGATATTGCACAATAAAATCACATGGAAAAATCATATAAACGAAATAACCATCAAGCTGAGTGAATCAAATATTCGTAATCCAAAAAAAAATTAAAATGGCATTGGCTTATCAACTGCAATAAACTACCTAATATTCCCATTGTGTAGAAAATTATCAAGTAAAAGATCCAAATGTGCTACAGGGTCGATCTTTAGAAATTGAATTTATAAATCCGGTCACACAGCTCGTACCTCAATTGATTTATTGAAGGAAACGTTTGGTAACCGCATAGTTTCAGGTTTCGGACCCGTGAATTGGCGTCCAAGATCGTGCGATTTAACGCAGCTAGACTATTTTCTGTGGGGATATGTGAAGTCGCTAGTCTACGCCTTTAAGACCGAAACGATTGACTACGTGGAGGACAACATTCGCCGCGTTATTACCAATATACGGCCACAAATGTTGGAAAAAGTTATCGAAAATTGGACTTTCAGATTAGACTTTGTCCGAGACAGCCGTGGCGGTCATATGCCAGAAGTAATATTCAAATTACAAATGCCAGAAGATTATATTTCGAATAAAGTAAATTTCATATCAATTTAAAAATTCATCTTTGTTTTACTCCATTTCAAAGTTCTATATCTCTATCAAAAACACATTAATGTGCTCCTTAGCAATAGAAAAAAAATTAATTATATCACTGTCAGAACAATGATATGATATACCAATTAATTATGTCGGGACTGGAGATAGGTGAATTATTAATCAGTCAGATACAGCGTTTACAAATAATAACATTTATTAATAACACCAACAACACGACAAACAGAAAATAACAGTGTAACCTCGTGGCGAGGAGAATCAAAATTAGCATTAGTTCCCGGCTGAAATCCCTGAAAAGAATGAATGCATCGGTAAAAATAGTTAAAAAGGATCAACCACTTGGGCCCTTGTCTTAACCCATAAAAGTGTTAACAATGAGTAGCTAATCGAAACATCAAAATTGGTACCTGTCGTTCTAAATATCCATACGTTTCGCTGGCGAGAGTGGCTAGCTTCTTCACAGGTTCATACATCCTGAGTTTATCTTCGATGACTGGACACTACGGCTGCGTAAAGCGTATTTATGTTGACTCCGGCAGTCTGGTGTGATAATACATGTACCTGGATTAGGTGATTTGTCAATAACATTCATCGACCCTTTGCTACCGTCATATTATTTGCTATTCTTGAACTATTGACTCCCGTACCAGGGATACATACATTTGTTTTTGATTCAATAAGTAATTTGAACATATACGAAATATTTCTTGCATGCGGAACTTCCGTTATTATAGTCTGATATTCGAGAAGGAATGTGACGTACTAGAAGATGGCATCCGAAGGCTCAACTCCGCTGGTGCTGATGCATTACTTGCTAAAGCGGTTTCCATGTGTAAATAATTTCTCCCAGTACTAGCAGCTATGACCAAAATGTAGTACCCCTCCTCTGTTTCCATCACAAATTCGATTCAATCAATTCAGTATACAAGACAATTTGCATTTCATCACGAAAATAGATCGAAATACCTCGATCGCCTTGTCGCAAGTACTTCCCTCGTTGTTTACATAACTCACATAACCATAAAATGGGCAAAGACCTCCTCTGACGTGCGGTGCTCATTTTACCTTTATTTGTATGCGCGCAAGAAATGGCGGAATGTATACTGCATTATTCAGGTAACGACCGATCAACGACGGAGGAGAAAAAAAGACGGACGACGATCGTGTGTGTCGTGCATGCCTTCCGAGTGGTATTTTTGTGGTGAATCGCGAAAAGACCAATCAATTATCTCAACTCAACGGAACCGGTCCTCGTTACAGATGGACGGCACGCGGATAAATGCGCGACGATGCTGCGCGCAGAGTTGCCAGGTGTCGTTTTGAAAGGGTGGTTTTCATCGACAAGAAATCACGGAGGGAGATATTGGGTCTAGGGATTTTTTCGAGGATTTGGCAACGCTGTTGGTGCCCGGGTAAATGAGCTATTATCTCTTTCGCAACGTTGCCGTAAGTTCGTGAAATTTGTTGTCTTTGTTTCTGTTAGAGCTTATACATTTGTCGTTTCATTTATTGTATGATTTGGCAATCCATTCAGATATACTATCACAGTGTTGCCTTTTGGTTTCCTGAATAATCGTCATTGGTGGCATGCCTCAACTTCTGAAATTTTGAAAGAAAGTTGGGGTAATTTTCAGGAATTGGTTATACAAATAATATCTACGCACAAGTGTTTCGATTATTTCAGTGAACCTTACTTATATAAAGAAAAGAGAGGAGAAATCATATTTTGTTTGTTAGTTTATTAAAAATCCCACGACAACGAAGCAAATAATAAATTACTCTATAAAAAGTGGTTTTTTTTCGTAAGAAAACTCATATCCAGAAGTAACCTAACAAAGCTTTTTGTTTTTATATTGCATTTCAAACAGTTGAAAACTAAGCGAAAATAATAATAAAATAAGCGACTTTAGCCCGAGATTCAACCCAAAACTCCTGACACTCAATTCCAATGTACTAGCAACTACACAACGAAGAGTCTTACAAATTGGTATACAATTTATAATTATCATACCAATTAGTGAGAACCTTACCAATTTGTAAAACCTCACAAATTGATAGGAGAATTTGTAAGATTTTTCCTGGTGTAGCTGTTAGCTATTTATGTTTTTAGTTTCTCCGATTTTGTTATCAGTTTCTTTGACACATTACAAATTTCTGGAGTGGTACACTCGTTTTCGTTTTCACTTTGCGAGTTCATGTTTTATTTTTATTCCGTTAGAACATATTTTGAAGTAAGTAAATCCTTAAAGCTCATTTGTGAATGAAAATACTTCGAATCAAACTGTAAAGTAATACAAATAGTTATGCAATCGACACTTTTTTCAATAGGTATAGGAAAGTATTTTCATTTTGTGAAGTACTCAAATCTCTTTGGTGATGTTGATAATTTGGTTTTTCCCGGTTTTAGTTACTGAATTTATAGTAGACAAGGCTAAGTTTGGTTTCATTATATATTTTTCTGTGAAACTTATATTCTGAATACATGTGCCAAAATCTTTTTCTTCAGTTTCAGTTGCATTTACTGTTTCAAAAATACAGCTGTGAAATATTACTTTTAGCTTTAAGGTGCATATTCACCAAAAAAGCGAGCACGAGCGAACGTGAGTGAACACGAGCAAACATACACGAATGCTCGCTCATGCTCGCTCGTACTCGCTGTTTTGGTGAATACGCAACTTAATATTCTACTTTGATCATTAGCAACCCAGTTAAATTCCCACTCAACAACTAAAATGAAACTGAATTCACGCTTTCCGCACTATATCTTCCCAGAATGGAGTTCACAACATTAAAATCTAAAGGTGCGTATTCACCAAAAAAGCGAGTACGAGCGAGCATGAGCGAGCATTCGTGTATGTTTGCTCGTGTTCGCTCATGTTCGCTCGTGCTCGCTTTTTTGGTGAATTCGCACCTTTACATTCAATTCAGTTAAGTATTGCCGACAATATTTTATCAAATTAGTTTTTATAGTAACCAAAAGTCTTGTGTGTGGTAATAGGTTTGATTTTTGCTAAAGTATCTATGTAACCTGAGTACCAATGTTATCGGCTGTTCCTAACTGCTGGATATACAATAAGGGCATCATATTTGAAGGAATAAATAAAAGCTGTTGTGCATCGACATAGACTTTGTGTGTTTTGACAATACTTCATACAAATCCATTATTAGATTACCAGTGGAGCAAAACAAAGCCTAACTGATTTAGTGAACCGGCACAAAATAGAAACAGACTTGTAGTAGCTAATATTTGAAAGCAACTACGGGAAAATGTCCCTTTTATCGATGATTCATATATGTCTTCGAATAGCTGAAATGACATGAGGTTTGAAACCAAAAATTCAATAAGCCAATACCATAAACTTTACTAATCCGTTTTAATATGGATTTTCATCAAAGAGCGGCCAGTTCTATTCAAAACTCTTCAAGAACAAGCCTGAGTATCATCAGTAAGCATGAATATATCTTCCCTTACGTTACAAGTCTCATCTGATAGGAGATGTGACTAAACAGTTAACCATTCACCTAGTAAAAACCAGATATATCCAAGTATGATTTTCGAAAATAACACCCCCGACAATAAACGGCAACATCGTCGTTCCGTCGGCCTTCAATGACCTTGACAACAACTGTTGTTCCAAGAGAGAAACACCACCGTGTGTAGTAATCGGTAACGCTACTTTGCAATCAAGACAAACCACTCTCTCAATGTGGTGACGTTTTTATGAAGAGTCCTTTAACCCCGGAAACTATCGCCATATAGGCAACTTTCAAATAAATTGCCTCGATTAAGTGATATATTTGTATTTATATACAAAACGGTCCCGATGACCGCTACAGTTAAGATTGGTTGCACGTGAGAACACGATTGGTTCCATGATTGTATCGATTATTTCTTCTGGTTAATGGGTGACATTTGTTTTTGTTTCACTGAAATATAATATGTAGTTATTGAAGAATTTCTGGCAGTTCTTTTGTTGCCAGCGACGTTCCACACAGAAAACTTTAATTGGGCATGTGATGACTTCAATAAAACAATGAAATAACTTACTATTCTTTGTAAATTTACAACTACTTACTCCATAGTATCAGCCTATTTGTTGTTTTAACACTGAAATAGTTTGGCAAAAACTAATCCTGCAAATGGTGTCAGAAGTGGACTCTCAAATTACACAACTGGTGACAGAAGTGTTCTTGAATATTTGTTACATTTTCTTTACGCTCAATTGCTTCAACAATATTTATCTTGTCCATAAAATATGAATTACATTACTTACCTTTCTTCTTACATTACTTACTTACATTTTTTTATTTAATTTCAGGGGTAAATACGCGACAGTATGCCGAGCAGTGCATAAAAAAACAGGAACGTCATACGCAGCCAAATTTGTGAAGAAGAGACGCCGGAATGTAGACCAGATGAAGGAGATCATTCACGAAATAGCCGTTTTGATGCAGTGCAAATCGACGAACAGAGTTATTAGGCTACACGAAGTTTACGAGTCTGTCTCTGAGATGGTGCTCGTCTTAGAGTTAGCTGCCGGCGGTGAACTTCAGCACATTTTGGATGGGGGGCAGTGTTTAGGAGAGGTGAGAAGCGTTTCCTCCATTTTAATGAAGTAAATTCGAAACCTGAATACAATTACTCTTCCTTTTGAAGTTCAATCACCTATTGATGTAGAAGTTGAAGAGCTCAAATAAATATATGCTACTACCAATTAGGAATGATCATAATTTTGTACTCGATTGGAAACAAATTATGTGAATCTAGTCGTGATCAAAGAAGTATTTTTTAGAAAGTCCTTGATTCATATTTTGAAATTTTTGTTTTTTTATATTATTTGAGGTGGGAATAGAATTGTTCATATCGTTTAAATGATATGTCATTTTTTATCTAATTTTTGGTAAAAGTTTCCAAATTATTAACTTCACGAAAAAAACTTGACTTCTTCACAGAACTCGTAAATAAACAGAATTCTTCAATATTTGATACGATAGACGGGCAGATGAAGCTGATTTTTTAAATATGTTTAAAGAAAACAATTCAATTATTTTTAAATATTGCACATCTTACCTATAACAATTTTTTTACACTGACCCTAGTACTTGAATTTTTCAAAATAAATTCTTAGGGAATAAGAAAGTTGATAAATTTTTCGTCCTTCAATATACCCTCATTTTTTGTTAAAGGTGGAAGCTCGTAAGGCCATGAAACAAATCCTTGAAGGTGTGGCTTACTTGCATGATAGAAATATTGCTCATTTGGACCTGAAGCCTCAAAACTTACTGCTTTCCGTGCAAGACTGCTGTGATGACATCAAACTCTGTGATTTCGGCATATCAAAAGTACTCCTCCCAGGGGTTTCAGTACGAGAAATTTTAGGTGAGTAAAATTCTCCAAATGTTTTCGATTACAAACATTGCGATAGTAAGTAATGAACAAGTAACTCAGAAATGTAATCATTATCTTCGTTAAAGACAGTTACTAAAAATCTAACTCTTTTCCACACTTTCTACCAAAGATGTTAGAACGAAAGTAAAAACTTCCAGAAGAAAGCAAATATGAAGTCCAGTGCACCTTTTAGATATCTCGCATAGGTGTTACTTTGCAATCTGTCTTGTCATAATTATTTTTTTCAGCAATAATTTTATATCTTTCAACAAATATTTTGTTTTCCGAACAGGTACTGTAGACTATGTAGCTCCAGAAGTTCTAAGCTACGAACCAATAGGCCTTTCCACTGATATATGGTCAATAGGAGTGCTAGGGTATGTTTTACTGTCGGGATTTAGTCCATTTGGAGCGGACGACAAGCAACAAACTTTCCTGAACATATCGAAATGTTCCTTATCTTTCGAACCTGAACACTTCGAAGATGTTTCGAGTGCTGCGATAGATTTTATCAAGAGCGCCCTTGTTATTGATCCAAGGTGAGTATACACACCTCACTTTAAGGACTCCTTTGAACAAATATCGAACGGTTTCTTTTTAACAAATATCGGGAAAGAATTTAACGTAGAAAGTGAATTTGTCGAAAGTGTAATACTTTGATTCAAAATCTGATTTTTCTAAATCTAATTGTTATTTTTTTTCATTTCCTGGTGACATTTCTTTATTCGTATTTTATTTTCCAGGAATCGACCCACAATACGTGAGATGCTAGACCATCCCTGGATCTCTCTGAAGAGCAACCTTCTACCCGCATTAACCTCAAAGCCTTCCGAACACCAAACCTCAAACAACCTCACGCCGAAATCGACTCCCATCAGTCAAAGAAAAAGCTTCTCCTGCATCACTGACACTCCCAAATCGGCCCAGCGGAAGACATTCTGCGCAGACACTTTGAATGGCAGTTTCACAGATACCACACTTCGTACGTACACCGTTTCTAATAACTGTCTATGTTCTCAGTGTGGTACAACATGTCGCCACATCACACACACGCCGGTGTCTAAAACGACGATCACTATCGATCGGGGCATTTTGTGTTAGCTGGGGGTTGTTTGGCTGCTCTGTGTACGCTCCGTGAATGAATAACAAGATTCAGCACTTTTTTATCAGGACTCGACCGTAAATTAACCGGTTTCCAAGTGGGGAGTATTCAACTGTATATCAGTAGTCATTTTGTGTTATGTAACACTGATGTTTTTTTCACATATTGGTGGCATCTCGGAGTTACGGGTATGTTATATCCATGTTACGTGGATATGATTTCCATGTTACATTGATATTATATCAACGTCACATGAATGTTATGTAAACGTTACGTGAATTTAACATTGTTGTTACATTTAGTTTGTGATTTCTATTGAAAAGAAATACTTTTGTAAGATTTTGTCTTTTATATGAGATGGGTTCCTGGAAACTTTTTTAAGAAGACGAGGACTGGCGGCGGAATTCTTAATAAGTAGTAGCACTTAATTATCCTGTTATCATACTCATAAATAATGGTGTGAAAAGATACAGAAATTTGCATAGATGGAAATTCAGTTTTTGGTGTAAAATGTATTGAGAATAAGTAACGATAGGATATTTTTCGGCATTGTATTCATCTTAACGCTTTCTGTACTTTTTCATTTACATATAGCCTATTTTGTTTAATAGTATTGTTTCCAATATTGGTATGGTTACATAAATGTGATACAGTTGAATTTTCCCCATTGATCTGAAGCTGGATTATTCATTTGGCAGCCCCCAAAATTCCATCATTTTTTTTTTAGTTACAGAACTTTTCATTTGTGCTATTGTTGGGATGTACAGTGCTACTTGTATTTAAGTATCATTAATTTATATTATTTTGTTGCCTTAATTTACTTCAGTTGGTGTGTACCTAAATAAAGTTATTTGTTAATTTCAAGCTTTATTTGGTTTTATTTCGAGGTATATTAGTAGCATTGTTTTATGATTTTGTTACTTGAAGGTATTAATTTATATGTTGTCGATGGTATTTTAGAATACTTGTATTCTTTATCATATCATATTTGGAAATTTGAAGGTATTGAAACCCCTTTATTCGAAGATTTAGAGAGGAGAATGCTTTTAAGTATAATGAACTGTATTCAAAACTGCCGGATTTGGATATTTCAAAATTTCCAACGTCGTGAGAGTTCCTTTAAGTATTTTTTATAGACATTGGCGAGTTTCAATATTGAATGAAATAATACTATAGTAGAATGTAATTAGTCATCTCAAAATATTGCGACGTTAATTCAACGAAATCTTAGGATATAATAATATAAGTTCGATAATATTGTATTTATTTTAATTTAGTCTAACGATACCTTGTGAATTAGGATGAAAATTTTTTGTGAATAAAGAATAATTTTGATAAAAAACGAACACCTGAAATGTGTTTCAATGTGATGGGGAGAAAAATTTGAGCCGGGAAAATATATCAATTCATCCTGAAAAATGGTGAGTCTTTAAAAATTAAAAAAACAATACAAATACAAAGTGTATACGATATCAGGCCAAATAATTTGACTCATGGAGTAGGCCTCAGTTGACATTCGTTTGTTTTCGAGTTGATCATCTCAAAATGGTGGCTTTCCATGGACATACCTCGATATGTTCGAATAATGGTAATGCTGGTTGGCTAATGTGGGCTTTTTTTTATAATTCTGTTTATAATTTAGTGTGTTACGGTGGCTTTGCTTGTTTGAAAAATGTGGCATATTTCTGAGGAATCATTAAATAATTTTTTTTTTGCAGCGGATGATTCTAATTCCAGTGAGGACAGTGTTTCTTGACACATACTGTCAAAACTGTTCAATCTAGGGTATTGTTTGACTGCCATTGTTGTAAATAATTGTATAAAAAAATAACTTATTGTATTCAATAAATTTTTTTGTTGTTTTTGTCTTCTTTATTATGACAAACATTCAGATTTTGCTGCAAGAGTGAATTCTTGTTATGAGTTGAAAAATGAATATGAAATTATTGTTGACATGAGATGAACGTCATTATTAATCAAAAGCAAATATTTTGTTTGAAGAAAAGTTTTTTTCAAAAATATTTTAATAAGGCAACTACAAAATTTCTTGCCGCAAGAGCGCGTGAGGTCAGTTCACGTGGTTCTTTCGTTTTTTTACATCTCATGAAATGAATTCATTTGAATTATGTGACCAGGAGTTGAGAATTAAAGAAGGTAGGTTTGAGACCAGCGATACCAATGAGTTGAAAATAATATGGAAACAATAAAAATTGATATAAAATGATGAAGTTTAATGATGCAAAAAAGAAAATGAAAATAAATGTTTTAAGTCAAATTACTTCACGAGATTTCAATTGTTAGTATCCACAATCGCCTTAGGTTGAAAACTGGCCTCGCCGATGCCGACCCTCATTAATTTGCAACCAATAATTAGAAAACTTCTGAAAATATAAATATAGATAGTATAGTACTCAATTCAAATCCTAAACAAAAGCCCCTTGAAACACGTATGAACACGCCTGACGAAGCTATTGTATAGTGAAACACATTATCATTTTGAAATCTGTTATGGATTTTCATTACATCAAATACCCTTGAAACCGGTGATGAAACTGTAACCAGTATTAAAAATTGTGTGGGAAACTTTTCTGGTAATCTAATCTCGTATATATAGGTTTTTCAACAATACATGCATTCAGGTTCAAACTCTAGAAATAGTCCCAAGATGGCGCTGTTGTCAATTTTTCAATATACTTGACCAAGATACCATGTAGAAGTGTTTACTTTTATACAGTGACCAAGTGAAGAGTGCAGCACCCGAACTTCTAATACGAACGAATGAATAAGCTAAGAATATCATCTCAAATCGAAGTTGAAATGTATTTTAATCATCTATTTACACAGAGTAAATGTAATTGAGACAACAGATCTGCATAATCTTGCTTGCCGAGCAAAGCGATCTAATCGAGCTCTTAGATCTGTAACAAACGAACATACCCTTTAGGTGTTGTATTAAACGAACATACCTAACAGATGTGTTCGTTTAATACAAATCTGAGCGCTGGAACTAGTTGCTTTGCTCGGCTCGGCAAGCGTTCTATAATGCAGATCTGTTGTCTCAGTTACATCTGCTCTGTGTTCGGTATTGGCGAGAAGGAGAAAAAGTTAGGATCAGATAGATTTTTCAGTTGTCATTTGCCATAATTTGGTGGTTTGGTTGAGTTTGAGGTATTTATTTGAAAAATTTACCTTTATTGCAATTTTTTAATCTTGTCACCTCATATTATTCCAGAGAAGAATTCATGACACATTATCATTGATATGATATTGCCTTCTTTAAAACTAGTCACTCTTAAATGGTTGTAAAAAATATTCGCATTTTAAAAAGAAAAATATGAATTACTGGTCTGTTGTAGAAAATGATTTCATCGATCATAGAATAGAATAGAATAGACATTTATTGCACCTATAAAAAATACAAATATTTTGGACAAGTCACCTATTACATTGCACAGTTACATAAAAAAGCAGTAAATGTAACAATAAAATTAAATGAAGAGTATAAAATGCATTTTAAAAATTCTTAACGCATAAAGAAACAGGAATAAAAAGTGGAAAATATGCACTAGGTATCTCCAAGCAAATCCTTAAGAGTAACATTGAACTCACTCAGAGTATACAGGCTCATTTTAGTGAGAAGTTTTTTCACTGTACTTCTGAAAAGTCTGAGTGGCAGATGTTTGATTTTTTCAGGAAGTAAATTGAAGCAAGTGATGCCAATTGATTTGCTTTTATCCAATCTTATTAAGAGGGGCACAATATTATTTCCAATGCGTGTTTTGTAGGAGTGAATATCCGAGTGTGTTGCGAGTGTGTGATAAATTTCTTTGACATGCAGAACATTGTCAAAGATAATTTGTGAGAATAGAGTCATGATTCCTGTATTCTCAAACAAAGGCTTACAGTGTTCATTATATTCAGCTTTAACAATGCTACGTACAGCAGCTTTTTGCAAGACAAATACTCATATGTTTTGTGACGACAAACAATACCACAAATGTCAACTTGTCATTTAGAAAGAATCGAGCGTTCGTTAATTATATATCGTTCCGTTGTTTCTGTGATCACATGGGAGAGAGCTGCGAGAGCTGCTCTCGCGGCTCTAGATTTTCAAATCCGAACACACCTATTATCGAACACTTGCCGAGTGGAGCGAGCTAATCGAGCGCTCCGATTTGTATTATACGAACATACTTTAAGTTTGACATACTGACAGTAAGCTGCGCTGCGAGAATTGAGGGAATTAAATGTTAGGTACTAAAGAATTAAATGTAACTTTTATGAAGAAGCCAAGCAAATTCGTTAAGTGAATTCATTAGACTTTTCAAATTCGAACAGATCTCATCAACTGAGGTGACAACTGGTAGGTGTGTAGTTCAATCTAATTTGAATTCACAGCAAAATCAATATTCTACTTCCGACATATTTGAAACAGCTTCTACATGAGTCGGCAGTGAATATTACTTTTGTTATTGATATTAAATGTGTTGAATAACGCATTATATAATTTCAGAAAATGTATAATGGCATTGGACTTGCAACTCCCAGGGGATCAGGAACAAATGGACATGTTCAAAGAAATTGGGCCGTCGTGAAGCCCCGTGACAGAGAGAAAACCTACAGAAGTGAACAGGAACTTGCCACTTTGGACACTGCTTCGAATAAACAACCTAACAGAGAAATTCTGGACCATGAACGTAAACGAAAAATTGAATTGAAGTGTGCAGAGTTTGCTGATATTCTCGAAGAACAGGGGTTTGTTGATTTTGGATTATATTGTCCATAAGTCCCGAGAAAAGATGTTTAAACATCCAGTGAATTTGAATAGATTATATCATTTTGATATGTTTGGATTCGTATGAAATGGATATCGAAAATATGCAAAGTGTCAGTGTCACTACACTAAAAGGTCCATTACAAAACAAAGACTGAGCTGTTGGTCACCACCATCATCAAGAACATGATTGCAAGTTTTTTTAAAATTGTAACAAATGATGCACCAATTTATTCTGAGTATGGCAATATGCTGTTTATTATGTTTGTTTTGAAGTTTTGTTGTGAGGTTGAATTCATTAGCGACCGTAAGTACCTGAAAAATGCCTCGTGAGAATTTGAGGATTATGTCGAGTACTATTGAGCGGTCGCCAATGGTTTTCACTTCTCCAATGAAATATCTTCTAGCGGCTCATGTGTTTTTTTTTTTGAAAAAACAGTACGTACGTGTCAAAATCTTCATATATGATATTTTTCAACCTATGACAAATATCACAACCTCGCGTTTCTGCGAAAGAGTCACTACTTTGCTAACGGATTCTCTTCCTTTCGCCTACCTATGTTCTAAACCAATATGCTCCTGAGACGAGGTATTGCCAGATTACTGTAATAATTTCTGAATTGGAGAAAAATGCCCATTGGCGTTATTATCTTGTGACATTTAGAAATGAATATAGGGAACTAAATATTGCCATACTGACAATAAAGTGACGCACCACTTGTTATCTATAGAGCCGTAGGGACTTTTAAAAAAAAAGTTGCTGGTAAGTGGCTTCTCCGTTAGTAGTGAGGCTGTTAAAATTGATCTTTCTGAATTCGAGGGTAGCTTCTTTACTATTGATGTCATAGGTTGTAAGATTGTATTCAAGGACAATATTTTTTTCATGTTTGTGATTTACATACCTCCAAGTACTAGCGAAGCTCATATCCTGAAACTCTAGAGTCACTTGAATGTTTATACAATAACAAAATTCCCATTACAGGTGATTTCAATATACCAAACTATTCAAACAAAAATCTCATAAATGGGAATCACAACTTGGACAATATCCATCGATTCAATAGTTTTTATGATCTAAACCAATTCAATTCTCTGCTTAATATTTCAAATCGTTTACTTGACCTCGTCTTATCTAATTTTCAATGCTCTGTATCCCACGATGAACTACTCCTTCTAAGCGAAGATGGCTATCACCCAGCACTGAACATAATTTTTGAATTCTCATCACCAGAACAAGCAATACCATATAATTCATCAGAAAACAGGTATAACTTTCGTAAAGCCAATTTTCCACTTTTATGCACTCAATGCAAAATGTTGACTGATCGCCCATTGACCATTGTACAGAAGTTAACTCAGCCACAGAATTATTCTATTCATTATTAACCCCAATTATTAGTCTGTGTGTTCCAGTTAGTCACAATTTCATTAGAAAATATCCTCCTGGTTCAATAATGAAATAATCAACGATATTAAAAGAAAAAACAGAAAACTACAGACTCAGGTATTCTCAAAGAAGAATTCCGATCTCTTTGTCGATCAAATCTGAAAAGGCAATCAAAGAAGATCCTACCAATTTCTGGTCGTACATTCAAAATAAGAAAGGTACATCAAGAATTCCTAGTATTCTATTCTGGGACGATGTTGAATACAACAATGCCTCCGAAATCGGTAATGCATTCGCACAATTTTTTGAAAGTGCATATTCTCCACCCCTACAATCAAATGAACACACGAATGTTACCTCAAACAATCCTATCATTTCTTTAAAACATTTTTCACTAATTGAATCTGCAATTCTCTCAACAAACTAAAACCAAAACTCACAAGCGGGGATGATAACATACCTAGCTTTTTCGTTAAAGATTGTACACACCTCCGAGCCATACCATTACAGTCAATCTTCAATCAAGCACTGAGTACAGGATGCTTTCCTAACAAATAGAAAATATAAAAAATTTGCCCAATTTTCAAAGCTGATGCCATAAACAATATCCAACTATCGACCTATAACCTTGTTATCAAACTTTGCAAAGGCTTTTGAGATGTGCCTGTACAACAGAATCTTTCCTAATGTTGAGAATTTAGTTTCAAACAATCAACACGGTTTCTTTAGCAAAAGATCAACAATAACTAACTTAATGTGCTTCACACAATCAGTAAGTAATGCACTTAATAATAACCTACAAGTAGATACTGTCTACACAGATTTCTCGAAGGCGTTTGACAAGTTGGATCATAACATTCTTATCAATAAACTTCACCAATATGGATTCGACTCTCAACTCTTGAACCTTTTCCGTTCATACTTAACTGAACGTATCCTATTCGTAGATTATAGGGGTCACAAGTCGTTCCAATTTATTGCAACCAGTGGTGCCCCTCAAGGAAGCAATTTAGCACCTCTTTTATTCTCACTCTTCATTAACGACATAGGAAATACTCTCTCTAGCAATTTCTTACTCTTTGCAGATGATTTGAAAATCTTTCGGCCCATTACATCACAGGAGGACTGCTTCATCTTACAAAAAGACCTTGACTTTTTGTACATTTCGTGTATTGAAAATAATCTTCCCCTCAATACAAACAAATGTAAATACTCAAAATACATCCTTAAACATAATGTTATTTCTCATGATTACTGCATAAATAACACACCTCTTCAAATAAGCACTCATCAAAGGTATCTTGGTGTCACATTTGACCCTAAATTGAGTTTCTCCATCCACTATGACACAATAACATGCTCAGCCAAACGGATGCTAGGGCTCATTTATCGTAACTTTCGTAGCAGAGATATTTTTTTAACTCTTTTCAATGCATACGTCAAATCTCGGCTGGAATATGCCTCCCTTATATGGTCACCCATATACAATGTCCACATAAACAAAATCAAGGCATCAACAACATAATACTACTGAATAAATTTAATCTATTATCGCTTCAAAACCGAAGTACCTTCTACTCTATAATTTTCATTTATAAACTAGTAAATAATCTGATTAACTGTCCCGAACTACTCTCCCACTTCAACTTTCATGTTCCACGAATCAATTCTAGAAATGAACTGACGCTTCATTTACCAAATTCTAGAACAAACATATTACTCAAGTCAACAGTTGATGCAATGAGCAAACTTTACAATCAACTCTGTGAAAATCTCGACATTTATTATGAACCTATTGGTCAAGTTAAGAACCACGTTAAGAAACTTTTACACTCTATCCAAAATACATGAGCCCAAATTGAAAGTTATTCAACCATGTGAACTTATTACTACTACTGTATTACTGGTGTTTTTTTTTGTAATACACCTGAACTATGTTTTTACTTGTTAGCTCTATATCTCTATATATAGCTGCATATAGCTCTATATCTGACTTAAGGTTTTTTTTCAATTACTCTCCTAGCTTGCTGCACACCAAGTGTTTCAACTAATTTTTTGCTTAAGTCTCCTAAATGTTTACTTTATTTTATTTTTTGTTTACTCACTTCAGGTGTTTCTAGTTGATAAATTAGTATTGTATTCATGTATATATGTATGTATGTATGTGTATTGAGTGTATATAGGCAGATATAAACTGTAACATGCTTGTTAATAATATTGTCTTGTTATTGGGATTTATTTCTGTTTAGACATTAAACTTTTTTTTTCTCGATGATAGTGGTTACTAATAGGTTTATTTCTTTACTTTGTAATAGACCTTTTAATCTAATTTACAATTATTTGTTGATCATCATTGTACGACACTGGCACCCTGTACATATTTCTACAAAACAATAGTTAAGTAATGAAAAAAATAATTTCAATGTACTTGCCAAAGAGACTTAAGCGGTTATATAGTATAACCACTTAATTGTACTTTTCATGTTTACAATATGATGTTTGAAATGCCATGTTAATGTAAGTTTGTTTTTTCATCCATTTCGAATTTCTTTTGAAATGACCCGTTTTTTACTAAATTTGATTGCTCAGATATTTGTATATCTCGACTGTATTTTATGATATGGCTTTGGTATGATGAGTTTTTTTTTGACAAACAAACATTACAATAAAATCTTATCAATATGCCTGATCAAAAACCATACTCTAAAAACCTATTAGCACTTGATTGAAATGTTACAATAGTCTTAATATAGTATTATCAGGAAAATCAGTTCTGGTTATTTACTTTATTGTGAGATTTTCATCAAGTACTGGCTTATTTCATCACAAATATGTTGTAATACATATGAAGAGAGTTAATTTGATAAAAAAATCATCATGTATGTCTAGGTGTGCAAGTTTAGTATCATAAATGTTTCAAGAAAAATGATTCCTACTAAGCTAATAAGATGTTGATCAAGTTGAGCTGTAGACAAATTAGAAAATTATTATTTCGAATTACAATTTATTCTACACAACAAGAACTAGACTTATTTTGATTTCTGAAGACTAATTTTTATGTTAAATTGTAATTGTTGAGCTTACTTTGTGTTGATTGTTAAGTACATATTAATTGTTACAGATTCACTGAAGAAGCCATCAACAATAAAGTGAACAATTACAGAAACATGCTGATGGGACAAGGAGGCAAACTAGAAAAACCAGTGGATCAGTGGGGTAGACCATGGTGAGTTTTTAACTTTGTATACGAATTAATTTGTTCATTATTTTTGAGTTACCGGTAATGGAATTCTCTCTAAAAAGTAATATAATATTTGATATGAATTGCGGCTTCGTAAGCTCATACAACTTTATATTAAATTACATGGTTGAATGTGGTTGTTTGCTTTTTGAAAAACATGAGAAATTGAACTTTTGCTTTTACATGTTCGAACTAAACAATGAAATTCAATGTGTTGAAATTAATCAATATACAATAATAATAATAATAAATCAGTAAACAATAATATGTCCATAAACAACAATAATAATAACTATTAACTAGAGTCATACATATTACTGTAACCTAACAATATTGAGAAATAAAATAGAAAAGGAAACAAAATTCAAAGTTAACTAACCTAGATAAGACTATACTAACAATTTAAAACATACTGATACATGATAATAAATGTTAAGATTTAAGACTACTGATGTTCTGCATCATTCAATCTTTTCCTACAAAATTGTGTTTGTTTTAATATAGTTGTTTAGTTTAGATTTAAATATATAAATACTTTCACTTTGTTTATGTCTCTTGGCAGCTCATTAAAATGCTTTAAGCCTTTATAAAACAATATTTTCATTGAACTGGTTAATCTGCATCTTGGCAAGTGAAAAAGATAACTTTGTCTTGTCTCGTAGTTGTGAGTACTATCACGATAAGTAATGAATTCATCAAAATAAGATGGTAACATATTATTAATAGTCTTAAAAATAAATATCATTGCTGATCTATAGAACCTTTCTTTTATTGATAACTGCAAAATTGAGACATGGTATTCCTGAAGGTGGATTCAACTAGATAAACATCACGTCGGAGTTTTACATTTCTCACATGTTAATTTTGTTATCTTAACCTTGAAGCTAATTTTCAAGGACATGAATTACATTATTTTAAAAGCGGTAGGCTTTTTTCACAACTATTCTCTTCCGAGCATTACCGCAACTTCTTAGGTAGGGCACGATTCTGAAGAAGCCTTGAATAACTTGTGAAAGTGGGTTTTAACAGAATGGTATAACCTCGCGTACACTCTCATCATCGACAATATCTATCTCGGATAGATTTCTGGAAGAAAGGAAGGGTGCACATTCAACAGTTTTGTGCCCCCTCGTTTGCCGGATATCACTGTGATCAACATGAAGTAAACACAGTTGATAAGGGGCTGTGATTTTTTTGTGCGCATCTGCAGTTTGGCATTGGTTGTAATTGAGCCGTGCGTGTAAATGAAGTGTGTTTTCATTTTGAAGGAGCTTCTTTTAGAGTTGATTATAGTGTAGTTTTTGAAGCATTCAAAAAAATTACGCCTGCTACAATAGTGTTTCAAATTTAACGGTTACAATATGTTATCAGTATTTGAAAACTAATGGTGCTAAGACTTCCATTTTCTTAATGGTCTTTAAGTCTATATTTTGTTCCAGTCAATAGGGATTTCAACATGAACATGAAATTCAAAAAATGTAAACTTTCAAGACCGGAAAAACTGTGTGAAAGCTATTTTCCGTTTTTTGGCCGTGGTCTGCAGGTTTTTACGTCTGACGTTTCGTCTACAACTGCGGTAAACATTATCAGGATGTAGTAACGGTCGCAGTGCTCGAGTTATTGTGAACAGACGTGAAGATGGTACATTGGGTCACAGAGTGTACAGGAATCCAACACACATAGACAGGTACCTGATCAGGAACTGTAACCATCAAAAACAATAAAAGATAGGGGTAATTAAAACGTTGGTTGAGAAAGCACGTAGTATGTGTGAACCTGAGAGTCTTCCTGATGAATTGAATCACCTAAAAAATGCCTTCAATTAGAATGGGTATAGCGGAAGAGAATTCGAACGGGCCATAGGACACAGGAGAGAGAACTCCAAAGTAACACCAGCGAGGCTGGTCAAGAAAAAAGCTTTCCTTTGCTATGTTAGGAATGTTACATACCGGATCTGGAGAATTTCAGAAAAACATGATGTGAAACCAATATTTAGGCCAACAAAAACTATCAGACTAATCCTCAGATCTACTAAGAACCCTAGAGAACCTTTAGCAATACTCGGGATATACCGGAATTCTTGTAGCTGCGGGTCTACATTGGAACCACGAAAAGAAGTGTTGGTACCCGGCTCTCTGAACACAAGATAAATTGTCGCCTCAGACAAACTGACAAATCAAATGTAGCCAAACATGCTCTAAACAAAGAAGGCACTCACATTACAGCTGCCGTACTGAGTCAAGGCCGGTGGGAGAAATCGTATCTGCGTAAAGTTTGGGCCATAAAATTGCATATGTTTAGGCAATTCACTTTTAAACTCCATCACTAACTGAATACGGTCCTGAATTTGGATGTTTAGGGCTCGAATAATCTAACAGATTTCTACACAACTACTGCACATCTTGATGGAGGGACTTCTCACCGGCCATGACTCAGTCCGGCAGCTGTATCTCATTCGTAGATACAGTAATACTCGATAAAACTCAAACTTACCATCCTCTTATAGAGAGGCGATAGAAATTCAAAAACACAGGGATAATTTCTAGAGAAGAGAAGGGTCAATGAACATTAATAAAATTTGTCTACCTGTCCATAAAGGTACACAAACAAGGTCAGGTAATCCAATTAAGACGTTACCACATCGCCTTTGATAATGTGTACCGCAGTTGTAGACGAAACGTCAAGCATAAAAACCTGCAGGTCACGGCCAAAAAACCCGGAAAGTAGCTATCACACATGAAATTCAAAATCCAATTCATTTTGTCTGTTCAGGAAACAGAGAAAGTGAGGTTGGATACCTCTTCTAGTTCGAAAAATTGTTCTGGTAGTGGTTGTGGCTATTGTTGGTGTTTGATTTTGTTTTCAGTTTCTTAATGGAACCAATAAGTAACTTCAAGAATGTTTTTTGATGGAGAAAATGTTTCAGAATTTGGTGTTGTAGATGAAATCAGCTTGGCTTGACTGTAAAGTGTTTTATTGATAATTTTTTTAATTTTGGGGAAGTGAAAACACTCAATTGATGAAAGATTGAAGTAGAATAGTACATCACTATTGTTTTATTTTCTGGTTTATGTCTTTGAAACTTTCTGGACTCCTCGAAATATTATTTGATTTCATCCTTTCAATCTTCAAAAGTCGACGAATCATAATTCGTGTGCCGCGACGAGTTATTCTTTCTAATAATATCGATTTCCTCGTCCGCCACGCTCGGATGCTGCGCGTTCTCCCTTCTTCCTCCCACCGACGCTGTATCGCCCCCACACCCCTCTAGTCACCACTGAACACCAGGCATCAAGTTCCCCAGTTTCTATCTGAAATGGGGCCTTATTGGACATCCGGACCGCCCGTTACATAATCCGGAAAAACGACGGAAATCTTCCACTGAAATGTGACGGATAATCTGCGGTGTAAATAATTTCAAAATCCGAACGTCTTCCAATAAAGTAAACTTAGGCTTATAACGAAACCAAGTCTTCCAAGATTAGTAATAAGTGTCGCAACTATTTATCGGAATTTTGTATTGGTAATCATTTGCTTCCCCGGCCCTTACGCCTCAAATTTAGGAGAATAGTTTATTGAAAAATTGTAGTATATTGTGGCTTTGGAAAATACTACAGGAGTGATATTGTGGACTCAGAAAAAAATACATTAGAAGAGTGATTACCGAGTGAGTGATCCGAGAAGCGTATCCAATAGAAGAGGACACGATTAGGACCAAAAGTTTGAGCCATAAAAAAACACTCAGAAAGCTGTGCCTGGAACCCAGAAAATAGTATAAAAATAGTTCACATTTATATTATTTCGTAATTTCTTCGAATGTGTGTCACTTCTGAGTGACAGTAGACATTTCATTTAGAAAACAATCCAAATGCCTCAGAAAAAAATTGCTTACGACAACCAGCTCAAAAATGCAATGGCGAGGCCTCAAAACAAGACCACTTACTACGGCGGGGGCCTCTACTGTCCCGATACCTACCATAGAAGAGCTCCTCAGAAAAAAGGGACTCAGAAAAAAATCCGCTACGCTGCCGCTCAGAATAGATCCGGCAAGTTTCGCTATTACGATGCATATTCTCGGAAAAAGTTCCAGAGCTTCGGTTACTGCGGCAATCCGCCTATTCAGCCGAAAAAAGGCGGTTTTTCTCTCGAAGAGAAGGTGATATTCGAAAGGCTGTGGAAGGGCGCTTTGTATCAGACGTTTCGAGGTCGCGTGTCCACAGGAGGACAGGCTCAGAAAAAATCGTGCTGCTGTCATTGTCAGTGCGACGTTGGCGACCATGTGGGCGGCGAAGGTCCCGCGGATGCGATGAGATCTGTCGTCAGGTAACTTTCTAAACATTTAAAGCCAGTTTTCTCAATTGAAAGTTTGAGGTTCATCGATAAAAATACTATAATTTTTCTTCGTTGCTACTTTTTCTCTTTCTTTACATAATCCTTTATGTCTATTCTAGTTTATGCGCATTAGAATTAGTGATAGATACCGGAGATTTCAATTAATTTTAAATAAGGTGGTTAGGCGGTATTAGTGAGATGGGGGCGATTTAGATTAGGTTCAACGAGTGAGTCATTGACAAATTGATTAAGGCTTTCACGGCCAAAGTTTTCAGTGTCACTATTTTTCGAGTTTGAAGGCCCTCAATTTTTGGAATTTCTTCTGGTGTGATAAAATCTGTACCTGCATTGGAAAACTCTTGGTGAAACACAATATTAAAACAGTTTTCAAACCCACAAAGAATATACAACAAAGTCTCAGGTCGGCTAAGGACAAAAGAGACCCACTATCAGCAGCAAGGGTATATCGCATACCGTGCACTTGTGGGAAGGTATACATCGGAACCACCAAAAGATCCACGGGAACAAGGCTGAAGGAGCATGAAAGAAACTACAGACTAGGACAAACAGACAAGTCGGCTGTGGCGAAACAGGCACTCAGTGAAGGAAACCACAGGAGTCTGTTTGAAAACACGAAACTCATTGCCCCCGACCAGGGATAACATAGCCGCGGATAATTTCAACAGAAAAGAAAAAGCTGTGAACCTCAATCGAATATGGAATCCCAATCTAAGAAGTTCAAGAATAGCAAACAGCATAACGGCAGATAGACAAGGGTCGACAAATGTTATTGACAATTTACCTGTTTCAGGTACAGGTATTAGCACACCAAACTACCTAGACGCTTTACGTAACTTACTTAATCCAAGTACAGGTATTAAGCGGCCTACACACATGGAAACCTGGTTTGCGGAACTTGGTTCGCATGAAACATGTTCATCATTTGTTCCTCTATGTGTGGTGTTTAACGAAACAATATCGCCACAGTTTCTCACGAACTGGGTCTTCCATCGGGTTGGAAAACATTTGTTGGCTTCGCCGGTAGGGCGCACCAAGTTCCTTTGTGTGTGGAGAAGGGGAACCGTTGTTCGTCATTTTTCCCGGTGCTTGTGTTGATATGGCGCCCGAAAACTTGAGTCCTTTAAGTTTCTTCCAGTAGCTAGGTAACGAAGTGTAACAGCGAGATGATTTTCGGCTGATATTGACATTCTCATTTGAGTTGTTTTGATATGTAGGATGTCACAAGTTCCAATAAATGATTGAATTTTGTTTCGGTCATTGTTGAATAATTGGTGTAATCTTTCGCACTGTTTGTTCTCCCTAAAAAGATATTGAGATTGAGGTGAGACCACTGCTCTCTCACGAAGCCACTGTTTGATCCATTGCCATATTTTCTTCTTCTTTTTTGTGAAATCCCCGAAGAACTCATCACAACTGCTGGAATGAAACTGGTCAAAGGGCGAACCGTTGTTCACATTTCCCTCCACTGGGTGTAGGGATTGAAGAGTCAACTTAGAGTGGAACACAGCAAACATAGAACTAGTAACGAGACTTGACGACAAGGCAGATTACGACCTCGTCCTCGAGTCATGTAAACACAAATCTAAGTGATTCTTGAAAATGGCTCCAAAGCAGAAGCGAGACGTCGAAACGATGAAAATTATAGACGCGATTCATCCCGGACAACAGTATATCATGTTGTAGGAATCTCATTGCTTTGGCAACAGTCGTATATTGTTTTTTTCAATGATTTTATTAGATGAACATCTAAAGGTTTCGGTATTCCTGTATCACATCGCGTCTTGCGGTCATAAGGTTTGGTTTTGACTATTTTACGTACAGTTGAGAAAGGAATTTCGGTCGAATCTGATGTTGCTTGTAATAGTTTGTATTCCTCGAAACCAAACTTGAGATGTAGATTCTTATATACGTTGAAACATAATCTCTGTGTTCCAATATTCAAATGTATCCGAATCTTATTCATTGGTATTTCTTTTTCACATTGATCACCATCGGTATTGGAATTACTACACTGGAAAAAGTCTGCGTTGTTATCACACTCATTACTACTATTAGTACTTGTCCAAGAACGCCACATTTTGAACAGATAACAAAAATTTTAAGTAATTATAACTGCACCAATATCGAATTTCAACACTCAAATAGCGATCAGTTCCTGAAGTGAACACGACGGCGATAACCATCCCCGCATTCCCGATTTCTATTCGTCACCGTAAGATGACTTCAAATTTAATTTTATGACTCTTCAGCCAATCATAAAACTCGGTTAGTAAAAATTATCCAATACGAACCGCCAAGTCTACAGTCCACGTGGACTAGTTCGCTGCCGATTTATTTTTATGTATTGGTTTTTTTGGCCTTTGAGAATGCCGCCAAGTTTAAGAGTGCCCAATATCGTTTACTGCGACTATACAAACCTTTGAAGAAGCTAACCACTCCCGCCAGCGAAACGTCAGGAAGAAATAACAAAAATTGACGCCTTCAAACCCGTAAAATGGTGACATTGAAAGTGAATTATTATTATATGCTTAGGAATCAGTACGGTGTGCAAAAGCAAGCAGCTAATATTTTTATGACTTTTTGTGGAGATGTAAAGAATAATTTATAATAGTTTTACAAAAAAAACTGACACTTCTATATATTTCTAGTACATTGGTATTTCATATTTATGAACAACATTGTTCAATAAATAACTTTCGACCAAACACTCCACTTCCGCGACGGATAATCCCCAAAGGTAATAGGTTAAGCTGATTACTTTTCTGGCAAAAGTGGAAGTTGTCCCAAATCGCCTTATAGCGCTCCCCTCTGGTGAATTTAGAGGTGGAATTCGAACGTTTGAACGTTACATGTTATATTCACGTCACTCAATACCTAATGACAATTATTGTTTATTTACTATCGAGATAATGGATATAAATCGATGATCAATTTTGAAAGATTTGAATCGAGTAGATCGTTAGATTCTAACATATACGTAATTGATATTTTGGCTTTAAACTTTAAATAGTTTATTCCGTGCACTTTCAAAATAAAATCATGAATGAATTGAAGGCTGGGCCACCAAAACAGAGTTTTATAGCGATAAAACTGATAGCCATGAAATTAACATCTATACGTAATTATTACATTATCAACCAACGACCACTCCCCACACCGTGGGGTAAGTGATCATTGGGTCCGAGAATCATGTGCTCTGAGCAAGCGCGGTGAGCCAAGAATGACAGCTTTCTGCATCTGTCCTGCTGAGATTTCTGCCTTAGTGCGGCAAGCCGGTATGATTTTAAGATTCGAGAGCAGAGAGGGTATCATTCCACCAAGGACTCCAATATAATCAGAACAACCATCTTGACAGAGTGGTCTGGATAAAGTCTGCGGAGTTCGAAGAGAAAATCTCGATATTTTATTCGTTTTTCCTCCTTTTTTCGGACGATATTCGTCCTGCCAGGACCTGAAAACTCCATGACAAATATCATCTTGCTCTGGTGGTCGAGAAGGACTACATCAGGCTTATTAGCTTGTATGAGGGTGGGGAACGAATAATTCCAATAAATTCGACACTTGAATCATGTCCGGCTCACTTTATTAACCAAAAAACGTGGGAAACTTCCATAGAAAGGAAGAAATAAATGATGAAGAAGGAGAAAACCAAATAGCTTTTTTTACAAAAAACTAATCTCTCCTAGAAGTATTCCCTTTTGAATTAATTTCTATATTGCAGAAAATTTATTTGTGTCGGGTATTCACTACGCAAAACTTTATTCAGTTGTAGAAAGGGTAAGTCTGCTCAAAATGTTTTGTTAGTTTATAGTTTAATTATTCTGTAAAATCCGACAACCCTCACCAGAAACATAATTCAACACCTGACACTTTTCATATATGATGCCTGTTTCGTAATATAATGTAGGACGTGCATATAGTGACTCACTCTTCGACGGGGGTAGGAAATATTGATTTATCTTGTCGCGTGTCGCGTTAGGGGGAAATGAAATGCTTCGGACCCGAACACTGGCAGGATTTCAGTAAAAAGCTTTCTGTTGTCAGTAAAGTTCATGATAAAACTATTTGACGTTTTTTTGCGAGAAATGACTCATTAACAATTACTCATTTCATCGGAAGTAGTGAATAACTTAGGGTGATAATGGTTTGTTTTAACGACAGAGAAATGTAAGGGTTTTCAATGAACAGTTATTCATTCAGTATTGTATACAAGATAATAAATAATAACAAAACTATGATTTATGTTATGTTATGTGGTTAATATAATATTCATTTTCATGTAAACAAAAGAGGAAATACATTGACACTGTACAAGTTGACATTGAAAAATTTGTGTTGGTAAGTTTTCTTGAGTACCACCATTATTAATTTGAATGGAACCTCATTTACATTTTCAAGTTTTCAGATACTTATAGTTAGTTTGATGTTAGTTTGATCTATACCATCCCATTTTCAAGATACTCTTTCTATTGAAAATAATCATATTATTATGATTTGGAATTTTCTCTTGTAGGCTCAAGAATAAGTTATAATTGTTTAGGAATTATTTTGGGCTATTTTGTGTACTTTTCTTATACTTGTGATGCACTGTTTGAAACCTTTGGTGTAGTAATGAATATTACTGGAGTTTTTTCCCAACACCGAACCGTTATTTTAACACCTCTACACGTGTTTCGATCACCAAGTGATCATCTTCAAGAGGAAGATTGAACTAGAAACTAACGCGAAGCTAACGCTATTTATGCTATATAGATATACCATACAGGTGTACCACCCATACAGGTATACCACCCTAAATTAATTTTACAATTTTGCCTTATCTATTATTTTACAATATATGTTTAAATGTTATAGCTGTACATAAAACAATTTTCAGCTATACAAAAACTAATTTCACAATATTGCCTGTCTAAATTTATTTTTGCAATGTGTCCTTATGTAGTAATCAGTAAACCCAACAATATTATTTTAAAAGCTATGTAGTATGCTATTTGGTATAGGTCCGTCATCGTTATTCATAATTTTATTGTGTTTACTTATTTCCACACTCTCATAGATCACTTGGTGATCGAAACACGTGTCGAGGTGTTAAAAATACCGATTTGGTGTTGGGAAAGAAACTCCAGTAATATTTTTTACTTTTTATTGTTATATTTTATCTATTAGATATGTGAACTTAGTTTTGCTCAAATTGTGTTTCTGGGTATTTCAATTGTTTCTTTTCTTTAATTCTTTGATGTGCTATACATACCACATTTTTTAACAAGCTTTGTCAATAAGATTGTATTTTCTTGGACTATAAAGTATATGTCTATCTATAGATTAAGTAAAATTTTTCCAGTAAATAAATATTTGTTCGAAAGAATCAAGGTAACATGTAACGATAGATAAATTAACTGATTTTATTGGCGTTTGTATAAAAGTACTGAGACATGTCAGTAGTCTATTAATCATTACATTTCACCATTTTGACAAAAAAATACATATTTTGAGGTTATATGCTGTAAAGTTGGAATAATGTTGAATGAAAAATTAATTGCTGCAGTCTGCAGTAGTGTGCGACATGTCAGCAAGTAAACTATGTATGTTTTTTTTGGAACAACTGAGTAACGTTTTGTTTTTGTTTCAGTGTGACCGAAACTCATCAGGTAGCCGAAGCTCAACAGGAAAAGAACGCTCGTCTTCGAGAGGCGTTCGGCATATCCGAGTACTTCGTAGATGGCAGTAGAGCCATAGAAATTGCTTAGTGGAAAAACATTTACAAGAGATTGTCTATAACTGAATTTCTTGTTATAGTTCATCTAGCGAAGAGCCAAAAAAGAAAAAGAAGAAAAAAACCAAAAAGAAAGAAAGGTAATTGTACCCAATCTGATAATACTTTCCATCGTTTGCAATGCACAGAATTTCACTATAATAATGATCAGTAGGTTCAGGAAATGTTAATTTTGTGCATTGTAACAAAAACGATATGTAATACCACTTAATTTTCCGTTAATTTGCCTAATTATATGCCTATATTTTGTGAAAATTATTACCCCTATACTAATATAATGGTGGTATATTTTTTTGCCCTACATTGTAAAGAAGGCTCTAAGAATCAGGTAATGATATGGTTCCAATATATCAGAATCGACAACTTTTTACTTGTTGCCTTTGCCTATGTTTAGCCATTCCAAGAACGGAGTTCTGAAGGTGCGTTCAAGCAATAGACTCTCACTAACGAATATTTTTGTATTTAGCATTGAACACATTGTATCTATTTGATTGATTGTTTGCAAGTCCAAAACATATACAGTGGTGCTGTTTTAGTTCAATTATGAGTTAAACTCGTTTTATGATCTTGACTCAAAAAATTGGCTCAAAATGATGTTTCAACGAATACAAGAGATTCCAATAACATTATTATATTAGAAAACACACACATATATATTTTTCCTGGATTCACAGAGAGAGAGAGTCATAGTTTTGGTTCCAGCTCCAGATCTTCCTTGAGTACATGAGGGAGCCTGTGTTTTATTAATTTTCAACTTTTCAAGAAGACATTCTAAGTACCTAATAATATGTAGACAAGGTTTAGTTGAGATCATATTTGTAACGGCATTAATACATTTGAAACCTAGTAGAAAGATGAACAAAATAGGAATATAGTTGAAAAAATATTTGAATGAGTTACTCAAAAATAGATGAAGTGAAAATGCCGAAAAAAACAAAGCAATATTGTAAGAAACAAACAGTAAAAATAAAATTGGCAACTAGCAATGAAGAAAAATTATGGTGACTTCGGGACCTATCCTTGACCAGCGAATTTTTCTTTATGTGTTTAGGTAGGTTTCCAGAATAGGAAATGAGATGATCATATGGTTTTGAAAAATAAATTATGAAGCTGATGCTTTATTAACATAAATACAGTCTCCAAAATATACAAGAAGTAGGAAGGTAGCACCTAAACAGATTTTGAATAAAGTTAAACGACTAGGACCATCATTAAAATGCTTGTTTAAACTTAAGTTAGGCAAATAGCTTGACTTGATGACTTCAAAGATTTTGAATTTGTATTCATACAATTATGAAGTTCGGTAATTGATTTTCATTCAGTTGATGAAAAAGTTTCCTTTGGGATAGTGAATTGAAAATCAAATTCATCAATCTCATACTTTTCTTGATTTGGACATTTGTTGCACCACTTTGTATGCTTCGGATTGTCTGTCTCATCTGTTAATTTTTTTGATCGTTACAACTGTAATTTTCAATAGTGATTTATCCGACAGATCCACCAAATCCAAAGAAAAAAAGAAGAAGAAGAAATCTAAAAAAGACGACTCCTCTGCGGAATCGGATTCTGATGATGATTCAGACGAGGACTCGAGCAGCGAAGATGACAGGAAGAAAGAGAGGAGTAAAAAGAAGGAGGTTAGTTTTGTTAATCGGCAAAATCAGGTATTACTGTGATTCATGAATGAGCTGAAGTCATCTAAGAACTGAAAATTTTGTTTTCGAGTTTTTAGAAAGCTTTTTCTCTTTATTTCGCATTTTGTAGAAAATCTTTTTGTTATTTTCTCATTTGAACTAATCTACAATTCACCACCTCATGTACATCTTGATTCAATAAATTGCTTCAAATGGACGCTACATGGCTATATATCTTGGAATGGATATGACAGTAATTGACATTCATGTTCTAAATTTCTCAGCAAATTCTATTGTCATTTTTTAAAAACTATACAAATGAAATATGAAAATTTGGGATGAGTTTTTTTGGAACAATTCCAAAATATTGACTTGTGTTGCTCTGTATTTATTCATGAAAACATTTTAACTGTCAGTCTATATATTCTCGAGTCTGCTTGTTATGTAAAGAAACTTTTAAATGAATTTCTAATCTCCAAAGATGTAAATAAGTATATTACTAGAAACGGGGACAAACTTTACTTACCCACAGCTCATCTAACACAAGTTCACAAAGGACCTTTTATGACATCAATAAAAATGTATAATAATCTTCCAATTAATTTAAATAGTTGAAATAGATTTATCACTTTTAAAAAAGCAGAGAAAGACTATCTGAAAGGGTTATACTTTTTATTCACTTGGGGAATTCATGGCAACTGAACAGGACTTCCAAATCCGAAACAAATTTTAATCTGCTTTGCGTTTTCTAACTTAATGTATTTATCTGTATTTTATTTTATTTTTTGAATGTTAATGCTTGTTTTTGGAATCAGTCTACGTCAGAAAGTTCACTTTTACCTTTCACCTTTCATTGAAATACATATAGTGACCAGAAAATTTATTTTTCTGAAGAGTAATAACATTTTTTGAGTAGTAAGGATTTTACTTCATTTAAAACACAGTCAGTCAAATGAAGAGAAAAATATATGATATTCAAGTGTTCATTGAATTGCATTAATTTGTGAACATGTTTTCAGGGTGAGCAATTTAAATATTAGATACCTACAATTGTTATAGAGAGTTTTGGTTTCATTTTTAACTCTGCGTGCATAAAAAATAGTTAGTAATTTTTAGAATTTTGTTTTGCTTTACATTTTTCATCTCTGTTTAGTGTATTCAAATACATCAAACACTTAAAAGCGCCAAAACCCATTAGTACAGAAAAGGAGGAGCTTTTTCTCCAAGTTTTTTGCAGTTAAATCATTAACCTCAAGGGCCTATACCATTGTACACTAAAATTTCGGCACTAATTACAATTATGGAAATTAACAACGTTTTCAAATAATTTTGTTATTTCGGCCTTCATATTCCTTAATTTTGTTTATTAATTTGTAAAATTATTTCAAGACAGTCATTATTCATATAATTCGTAAATATTTGAACTGAGTTGAAAGACTTATTGAGTTGATGAATTATATGTATAGGGCTATTCAAATTCGTGTCTGTACATGGGGATCTCGTAAACGATAAGAGATAGAGT